CTGGAAATATGCAGATGGAATTTCACCAAGAAAAAAACATCCCCGGAGTGACAAAGTTTCCTTTCAGAGAGAGAATGTCTGTGTGGGGAAAGGAACAGATCTCTTCTGAATAAAAATGGATGCTCTAAACAGTGTTTATAAAAATTCTCTCTGATTCCTGCATTTGGCAGTAAGACAGCAACTAATTTGGTTTTATTTTAAAATCCCAGTGATTACAAGGTCTGCACGTCCCCTGTGGAGTTGCTCTTTCTCTACTAGAGCCAGACCCCAGTTTTTCTTTGCCAAACACACGTGCTGAAGAGCTTTCGGTGTCAGGTGTTTTTTTCATTTGTCCTCTCTCAACCAGAAGCACGGCCATCACACCTGGTTTTTTGAGCCCAGGTCTTGATCACCCTCTTTTCGGAGTCTTTTCAGGAGACAAAAACAAGTGTTTCTGAACATGTGTGATTCAAGTGTGTCCTTTTCTTCTAGAACTGTCTACTGCCCAAGCAAGACCTTGAGTTATTGGCTGACTAGCAGCCTCAGGTCTTCACGTACCAGATGCAGAAATAAGGAAGAGTGTGTTCGAATGTTTGACTGCAAGTGGTAGCCTGCCCACGCAGTACTGGTTAACCCACGAACGTCTACCATTTCCTGTTCACAGTTCAAGGGTAGGGTGGTCCCAGTGTTGGTTAATTTGGTTGACGTAAGTATCCACTGTTAAAAAATGATTAAAGAAGACCATTTAGGCAATACAAACAAACTTTATTTAATACTTTGTGGTCAGTCTTCTTTAAGAGAACTGCAAAATGGGGTGGAAGGCAGAAAGATCGTATAGAATAAAGAACATGGAAAAGACATACAGAAAATATCAGATTGACTGGAGCCACATAGTCAGCCGTTTTGGAGGTGAGAAGCCCCTGCCTGAGTTGGCACAGCATTTGGAGCTTGGCTGACTAGACATACTGCATTGCTGGCCGAGTGAAACTTGTTTATAGGGGCGTGAAAGTTATCTAAGTTTTGGTTTGCTTATGTGCCACCCTGGACAGGAGTGGCTCCATATCGAGCCTAAAAAGTGATTTCAACACCATCATCAAAGATAAGAGTTTTTTTTCCTGCTGTCCTCAGTGTATTGGCTTTCTTTCTTGGGCTTGAGTCTTTCTGGTGGCAAAATGGCTGCTGTAGCTCCCATTTGTGCACATCAAAGTTCAAAGGCTGAAGACAGCATATCTCTTCTTTGTGTCTCTTTTTTAATACTGCAGAACATTTTTCTAGGACTCCACCAAAGGCTTATTTTTCATCAGCCAGAATTACACAAGTTTCTCTTTCTTAAACTATTGATTGGTTTATCCATAAAATCTACATGATGTGCATGATGTTAATTGATGATACTAGCTCTAAAGTTGTGTTCTCTTGCCAAGAGCTGAGATCTCACCTGTCCTTCCCCATAAGCCAGCTACTGAGCAGATCCAGTGTCCAATAACCATAAACTTTGGGTGTCCAGGAGGAAAATGCATCCTTTTCAGGGAATTTAGAACTATATCTTCTAAAGAAGATAATGTGAACATCCTAGCCTTTGTCCAAATCTTTGACCTAAATAAATAGACTGACATATATTTCTCTAGCAAAAATAGCTTTATTTGAGATCAGGAAGAGAATTGCAATTCAAGGTCTGAAACCACAGCGAGTTATATGGCCAAGACCCCTTCCAGCAAGGAAAGGAGAACTCTTTTATAGAGTCGAAAAGGAAGTTAGGAGGGCAGTAGTAAACAGAGCCTGTCTTTTCATTGGCGGAGTCCTTGCCAGGAAGGACGGAATCTTTCTTCTTCCTGTTAGGTTCCACTGTGGGCGTGGGGCGTGACAGCTCCCCCTTCTGGTCTTCTGGCATTGCTTAGTTGAGATTTCTATTTAGTAATTGTTTACATAGTTCTGCAATTTAACTTTGGCTTTCCAGCTGTTTTCAGCTAACACAGTTGTGTTGCAGAGTTCAGAACAAACTTGAAATTTGCATTCCTTAGTAATCTTTTGACAAAGTAAATTGACGTTATAGTTGATTTTTCATAGCTCTAAAGTATTATTCTTCCTTAGATGGGTGCCCATGGGCACTTGCTGCTGTTTCTTCTTACAAAACAAAGCACTGAATCGGTGTGGATAGGTAGAGATATACGCAAATCATATGCGTCGCTTAAATAAAATTCTGACTTACAGGTGCTCTTAAAGGTTAGTTGGTACCTTCATGGGAACATAGGTTATATTTTCAGTAATGATTTTTGTTGGCAAAGCAAGTAAATTAGACGTTTGTTCATTTGGAGCAAGAGGCAACTTTGTTGCTTTAATATATACAATTACATTGAGTTGAGATCTACTTTAAATGAAAATTGAAAACAAATGAAGTAATCAGTCAGCGTAATGTTTGTGGTTACTGCTTTTGTATACATTTGGTTAAGTTGAGAAAAAGAAGCTGTTCAGCATTGCTGGCTATTTTATTTTAATCTGGAGTTGAGGAAATTGTAAACTGGGAACATTTGAAATTGGCTGTAAAATATTACATATAATGATAATTTGTTTTTATAGTTGTATGAGCCAGATCGAGTTTAATCATACAGTATATTTGTTTCCACTAGCGTTAGAATCAGGCAGTCTCAAGTGTAGCTAATGAAATTTATTTGTAAGTTTTGTTGTTGTTAATCTTTCTTACTAAACATGAGTAGCACCTTTTACTTTGACATTTAGAAGCATTTGTATTAATAATAGCAATTTTTCAGGTTCCAAGTTCTTGAAATTGAACATTTATAAAATTAATGCATATCTTTTCTCTCTCTTATTACAAATTATTTCCTTAATTTTATGACTTTGGGATGACTGCCTATGACTTACTGGCTCAAAAATGATGATGTTGAGGAAGAAATGATTATGTTTTATATTTAGTTAGATTTATTCATGCTGACTTGGGTTTTGTACTCAGGCAAGTGAGTCATCTGAAGATTCTTGGGTCTGTGATTAAAGTTTAAATTCAACCACTAGGTTATGGTATGTTATAGAGCTTAATCCCCAAGCTGGTTTTTTATTTTTTTTCAGACTTAACTATATTTGATTTGGAGTCTGAACATAGTTCTCATTCAAGTTTTGATGGAAGTATCACATCCTGCTATATGCTGAATCCTGTTTTAACACAGCACTGAAATTCTACTGAGCAATAGAATAATTTCCCCTCCCCTTATCTCTTAAAATTATGCATTTTGCAAAAGTTTCAAACTTCACAGTATCTTTCTAACCTATATTTTGGTTCACTTATTTTAAAAATTTAGTTAACTAGACATGGGGAATATCACCCAAAGTTGTTCACTGGAATTTATTCTGTACATTTAATTTTCTCAGTACATCTTTTACAGCTTGTAGATACTAAAATTATTTATTTAGTGTGAGTTTTTCAGGACCCTTGTTTACAAGTGACATAAATGCAATTCAAAGTATTTCAGCATAGCAGAGTTTACTGGCTCACATAACGACACAATACAGGGAAAAGCTCCTTCAGGCGTAGGTACATCCAGGAGCTCAGCCTCATCAGTAATCTTTCTCTTCAGCTCTGCCTTGCTTCCCTTTGCATTGGCTCCTTTCTCTGATACACTCCTTTCTTCTTGTATCCATGAGCTCCAGCATACCTACAGCCTGGAAGTGGTAGGTCCAACAAAAACAAAGATTTTTATCCCCTGTAATTTCAGTAAAAGTCACAAAGTTATATTCTGTGATACTCAGTAATGGCACCGTCCCTGAGCCAATCTCTGTGGCTAGGTGGATGGAACGCATCAGTGGTTGACAATGTAGCATGGCTGGAGAAATCCCCAGAAACGCCATCTGAGATTTTGTTAGAAATGCACATTCTCAGGTCCCATCATAGTCCCAATGAATCAGAAAATCCAAGAGGCGGGCCTGATATACGGGTTGAAAAAAGCCCTCCAAGTGATTTTGATGTGCACTTGAGGTGGAGAACCACGCAATATCCTAATTAGCCCAGCCTGGTTCCTGCTTGTAACCCCTGGTGCTTCAGTGTAAATTTCACCTCACAGAAAGCACGTAGAAAAGAAATCTTGAGGAACTGATATTGGGAAAAAAGAAGAATAGATGTTGTGTTGGCAAAGACAAGATTTCAGCCCGGTGATAAAGCTCTTCTTTGTTTCTAATGCCTTTATTTCTCAGAACACTGTTAATTATGAATTCCCCTCCAGAAAGCCAATAATCTAATTAAGCAAGTACACGTTCACCCGCCTCTCACATATAGTGTCTTAAATTTCATCTCCAAATAGGTACATGGCCAATTTTGAAAGGTTTCCAGACCATGCTATTTTCTTATCAAATGCTTCCTTAACTGCAGTCAAAACCTTCAATAGTGAACCTCGTTACTTCTCTGTGATAAATAGTAGAATAGTTTCCCTTTGCTGTGAAATTTCTCAGTGAAAATGACAGTGATGCCTACAGAATTTTTGCAGAAGTGGTCAGCCTTGCAATAGCATCCAAAGTAATTTTAAAGTATTTTTTAAAGCATCTAATAAGGGAGATGAATGTGTCTTTTCACATTACTTAAAATTTTTAACTTAATTCGGGACATTTGCACTTATTATCCAGGAGACGGCAGTAGAGAACATGTCGGTAATTTTTCATTTTCATCTAATCGTAAGAGTCCTCTAGGTACTTGTTAAAAATAAAGATCCAAAGGCTTCTTTGCAGAATATTCTTATTTTGGAGGTCTGAAGTGGGGGGCAGAGAGTTTATACTTTCAGTAGCTGCCGCGGGGAATTCTTACAATGGGGCATGTTTGGCACACTCTGTAGTGGTGAAGGCTGAGGACGCTATAGTGAAACAGTGTGAGGTTGAAACTTGGTTGTAGCTCCTACCAGCTGGGGGTTAGTTACTTAACTTCATCAAGCCTCAAATGCTGCCAGCATTACTATTTGTTGTTATGGTTCTCTTTCTTTCCTCTTTACTAATCTGCCTGCTGCACCTTCGTGTTTCCTATGCTGCAGATAGAGGACATGCAGTGGGGTAAAGGTGTCCGTGAGATCCCCCGGTCGGTGTGCACGCTGCCGTGCAAGCCCGGGCAAAGGAAGAAGACGCAGAAGGGAACGCCTTGCTGCTGGACCTGTGAGCCTTGTGACGGCTACCAGTACCAGTTTGACGAGGTGACCTGCCAGCACTGCCCCTACGACCAGCGGCCCAACGAAAACCGAACCGGCTGCCAGGATATCCCCATCATCAAGCTGGAGTGGCACTCGCCCTGGGCCGTCATCCCTGTCTTCCTGGCAATGTTGGGGATCGTCGCCACCATATTTGTCATGGCCACTTTCATCCGCTACAATGACACCCCCATCGTCCGGGCATCCGGGCGGGAACTGAGCTACGTTCTGTTGACGGGCATCTTCCTTTGCTACATCATCACTTTCCTGATGATAGCCAAGCCCGACGTGGCGGTGTGCTCCTTCCGGAGAGTGTTCTTGGGCTTGGGCATGTGCATCAGTTACGCCGCCCTCTTGACGAAAACCAATCGGATTTATCGCATATTTGAACAGGGCAAGAAATCGGTGACTGCTCCCAGACTCATAAGCCCAACGTCACAGCTGGCCATCACTTCCAGTTTAATATCAGTTCAGCTTCTAGGGGTTTTCATTTGGTTTGGTGTTGACCCACCCAACATCATCATAGACTACGACGAGCATAAGACGATGAACCCTGAGCAGGCCAGGGGAGTCCTCAAATGTGACATCACTGATCTCCAGATCATATGCTCCTTGGGCTACAGCATTCTTCTCATGGTCACGTGTACCGTGTATGCCATCAAGACTCGGGGTGTCCCAGAGAATTTTAACGAAGCCAAGCCCATTGGATTCACTATGTACACGACATGTATAGTATGGCTGGCCTTCATTCCAATTTTTTTTGGCACCGCTCAGTCTGCGGAAAAGGTAAGTGAACATGCGCACCACAGCACGCGTTTCAAAAATGTGTTCATTCTTGTAAATACTGAGACCAAATTGTATAGAGCAAGAGGCTTTACAAAGGCTGAACATATTCCCAAGTATAGGCCAATCCTGAATTGCTAGGCATCGATGCTACAGAAATCTAAAACCTGCATTGAACTGGGCCACATCCATTCCACTGGAAACTGACCAGAGGTATAGCCTTTTTCAAGTTCATTTATTACAGAATGATTCAAGGTAGCAAGAGCTTATCCAGTAGGAAATAATCTTATCTAGTAAATTAATCCTTCCTATTCATTCATGACTCGCTCCGTCTTCTTTCACACGTATGTCCTGGGGATAAGAGAGGAGGGCCACAGTTTCTCATTCTCCAGGATAAAGATGGTTGTGACTAGCTCGCTCTCTTCCTGGTGGCTATGTAGGTCGGCGCTCACTGTTCATTGGCTTGTGTATGTGAAATACACAACATGTATCAATATCTTTATCTATGTCTGTATATATATCTCCAAATGGGTAGACATAGGAGAGTTTTGGTTATCATTCCATTCTGGACTCCCTACAGCTAGATGTCCATTAACTACATCAAATGGTTCAACATGATAACAGAGACTCAAGTCCCCAGCAGTGGGAGGGACAGTATGTAGGAGAGCAAGTGTCATCAGGTTGTAAAAGTTCAAATTTTTGAAAATGCATAGACCCTGATGTGTTAGTCCTAGAAATGTTTAGTGTACACGCTGTCCTCATAGACTTATATGTTTTTTATGCATCTGGACGTTAGGCAGTCCTAATACTTTGAATCTTAATGCAGTTAATGTACATCTGTCTGGCTGTAGGTGTGATGTATGTGCAGATCAGGCAATGCTGCAGTTTTGGTTCTAAATGTGATTCATATACATCTGACTTCTGTACTCACTGGAATATGGTTTTGTGTGTGTTCAATCTGAGCAATCCTAACACGGTGGTCTTCGTGAGACTGATGTCCTTCATGCAGTGAAGGCAGCTCTGACATGTCGGTCCGGCTAAGACTGGAACTGAGACTCGGAGTCCTGACTGGCACACTCTATGTAGAGAGAGCACAGTTGTAGCTTGATTGGAAGTCAGGACCCTGGGGGTCTAGCCTGATTTCACGTTACTTTGGAGAAGTCCCTTAAATATTCAGAGACTTAGTGCCCTAAATGAGGAAGACAAGGATTGAAGTAGGCATGTCTACAAATTTACAAATCTAGCTTCTAGGACTTAGCTGCATCTGATTTTTGTTACTGTTACTTCGCCAGCAGTGGGAGGGACAGTATGTAGCAGAGCAAGTGTCATCAAATTGTAAAAGTTCGAAGTTTTGAAAATGAACGGACCCTGATGTGTTAGTCCTAGAAATGCTTCTCTGAGTCATCATATAAAGGATGAATGGATTTTGGTAGTTTTCCATCTGCAAAGATGTCTTTTACCTAAATTGTTTGATTTCAGAAGATACGAGTTTGGATTGTGTTCAAAATGGAAAAGGGAAATCTCTTATGAAGCCGCACGGAATGCTAAGACCGAGGACAGTGAATGGTTCCAGATTATGGTTTCGGTACTAGTACAGTGTCTTAGAGGAAGTTCTTCCAAACTGTATGCTCAGTGAGCATCGTGTCTTTCCAGTACTATGTTTCAAATTCATATTACATGTTTGCTTCTGTGAATACTAACTTGAATTTCATTTTATTGCTTTATCTATCCCTGGGCCAAAGGGATAGTAAAATGTGAGTTAAGAGAGTGAAATGTAATCAAGAGAAAAAAAAAAAACCCGATTAATGCTAGGAAGTTGACGGCCACGGGCATTTTTAAGGGGACTGATGGGTGTCATGAAAGCCTCTGGAGATAATAATTATTTTGTTGTTAGAACAGACAGAGTGCCCCACGCAACAGGGTAAAAATGTGAGATCTTTTTCTTGAGAATTTATTCTTGAGGAATGTAAAAGGCAGGGTCACTGCAGCTGTTTTATAGTCGAGCCTTGCTGTCTTGCATATTTGACAGTTTAGGTTTCTACCATTTCATCTGCCATTTCTAGCCATTTCGAGTCATGACTGTAAATCTTTTCAGTTAAGATCAGGGGTGTCATTTACTCATCGAAACCTGAAAATCAGACAAATTTTCAGGAGTTGAATTCACTGATTCTGGTTGTTCCAGAAGACGTTGTGTCAGTAGAACAGGACTACCGGAAGAATGAAGCTGTCTTCCGCAGTGGCTTAGTGTCCCAGAGTTTGAAAGGCGTGTGTTTCTCCTTGTGTACTCTCAGTGGGTTGTGAGGTTTTACATGGTTGATTGACACCATTAAAGGTGCTAAACAGCCAAATGGGAACTCTGAATTTTCTAGGAAAATGCACATGCCCTAATGCTAGGCATATGGCTAGAGAAGCATGAATGATCCATTAAAAATATTTTACGAACATGAAACCATGGAATTTAAACTGTGGAAGGCAGCAAATTGCAAAATGCAACAAAAGATATTATACCAAAGGCATTACTGCCAAGCTAGTACATACAGAATCACAGCTTCTCCATTTGGGTTTGGATTTAAGAGTTTAAGTGTTTCAACTGGAAGGATTCCAGTGTAACAGGACAAAAAAATAAAAGATTTTAAACAGTCAGTTCAGTAATAACTATGTTCTGTTTCAGGAAATTGAATTTGTTTTGATTATAGGAGGGATAGCTTGGTGAAACTTCTCATCAGTTGAGCTCATTAGCACAGCATCAAGTATGAGAAATGCTCCTGATTTTCTTGCAGAACATCAACCCGCATGAAGTTTATTTTTGCTTTTCTTAAGGAGGATGCAGGATATTACTGTTATCTTGTTTTATTATTACTAACTCTGTGACTTCCAGAATGAGAATCTTGCAACGTGGCTGGGGGTGGAAGAGGTAAACTCCAGCCCTGAGATAATGATTCTTTATCTTAGGAATTATATATTATGTGACTTAAATGATTCAAGGAAACCCTGCCAGTGGTGGAACGCTAGCACAGCAGGTTGAGTGAAGTGCTGTGGCGTCCTGTTGTTGCGCACTGGCGCAGTCTGTTGGAGGACTAGAGTGTTTTGCAGAAAAACAAAGGCTTGGCTTGTGGGTGTATCTTTACAAGGAGTTTTTGCATGCAGCAAGGTAGGGAGGATCCCCCGTACCCTGCCCAAATCTGGGAAACCCTAAAAGACGCCATGTTTATTAGGCAAGCCTTTTTAGCCCGTGGTTGTCTGGAGAACTCCCTAGGTATGCTGGAAACCATTTCTTACACGTGGACACAGAGACAGGCTTGGCCCTGCAAAGGCACAGCAGACCTTGGTACAAAAGGAAAAGGATCAGAGGGTCTCATAGGTCCTTCCCTCTTAGCGTGTGTGTTTCTTTGGATAGGGGGCTGGTGAAAAGCAGAGAAAGAAAAGAACTGAGGCGTTATTCTGGTCACAGAAAAATGCTGGAGGAAGAGTAGTGGTTTGAAGGGAGTCATGTCCTCTGTAGGATCACTTACAGGCCTCTCTTCTGCACATATCAGAACAGAACCAGGGTGGGTCATGATACTTAAATAATAGGATTCTTCGGTTTTCACTGAAGCATATCCATTAAGTGACCAAGTTAGGGCCATTGTTGGCAGTCTCTGTACCACCTTAGGGTTCTTAACCCAGTGATTCAAAATCATGTCCATGATAATCCCCAGAAGAAAGTTGTTTTCGGAGGTATTGCGTGTCCACCCACTCTGCCTGGTCCAGCAGGGCTAGGATGAGCAGAAAACTCCAGATGTCTTTAAAACAAGCATGCTGGAAAGATACCAGTGGAAACCAAGCATGCTTCTTGAAACTGCCTAAACATTTTCTTCCAAGTCCGCAAAAGACACCCTATAAATACTTTCTGATTTCTAATTTCAGAGCCCTTGGGAATAAATTAATTATCCTCCCAAAGAAACAGGGGATCCAGAGATCAAGGAACCAGGAGATCAGAAAGACACTATCCATGGTCATAGTCAAAGTTGAGAGTCAGAAGGTGTGAATGAAGAAGTGTCAACTTCCAGGTTTGGGCCAGAGACCTTAAAAGCCAGCATCAAGGCACTGATCCTGGAAGCAGAGGCGGCAGGAGGGCAGGGAGATAGGAGTGTCCCCCAGGAGTATTTCTTGAAGGGCTGGGACTAGAGGCCAAGGCCTTTTGATCTTCCAGCTGTAGCAGAGAGCTCCGCAGAGTCTGGAGGTAAAGCACAGCTTGCCTAGGACTGATACTGAGAATCAGAGACACTTGGCAGGGAGGGAAAGCTTCCCTGGTCCGTGCCCAAGGCAAGTGTCACTGCCAGCTTCCCCCGAACCCTGACGTGGCCTTGAAACCCTTATCATCACAGTCTTTAGGCGGCCACTACCAGTAAGGCAGGACTGGAAAGAACTTGAAGCTCATGTACCATTTCTGATGTAGGGTTGGGTTCCAACAAATGACTGTTGATACCTCTTTCCATCCAGCTGTTGTTGTCATTGTGCTAAAGACACTGAGCGTCTTTCGTTGCAGTTCATCTGCTTAGAGGTAGAGCACAGTCAGGGAGTGGGGGCGTTCGTGTATTAGTCTTTCTTGTGTCTGATCACACACTTCTCTGTCTTTTTAACCGCTCAGTGCCATACAGAAAAGAGAAGCCCTGGTTTTCTTTGGAACTAATGTATCTGCTTATGCTTCTGCGCTACTTGATTTGATTTTTAAAATTCTCATGCCTTTCAAGCAGTTAAACTAACAATTATGAAATGCCTACTACGCCCCTGGTACTCTCTGAAGGACAGTGATGCCGATGGAAAGAAGACACCGTCCTCATCGGTCAGGAGCTGAGAAACTAGAGGTGCACACAGACCTTCAAACACACATCACCTAGTGTGAGTTAAGCGACAATTATCACGCAGAGAATGCAGGAGGGGCAAGCAGGGAAGGGACCTCCACTGAAGGCTCACAGAAAATGCAACAAGGAGCCGGAAGCTCCCGGGCAGAGGAAGCGCTG